AGAGTGTTTACAATGCTGAAAATGGAAGAAGGAATTATGCCTTTGATTAGAAAATCCAATATCAAATGTTTCTTTTTGTAGATGAGGACCACTAGGAAGAGGTACTTGTGATACATTCTGATATTTGGGCTATAAACCACTATCTTGCATATTAAGTAAGCTCCATCTCCTCAAATCCCTCTCTACTTTGTTGTATTTACTGTAACTATATTTCACTGTTGAAGTATCAATATATAGATGTTTCCATAGTAATTTAATATAAACTTTAAAACATTACATAAAGCATTATCAGAACTTAATCACTTGTTACATAAGCAATAAAGATATATTGATAATCTTAATCTTAAAATTTGATTAAAAGTAGGGTTTTGAAAATGTAAATATTAAGTTCTATTAACTTCTATTTCAGTGAAGAAAATAAATTTGAAAATCTTCACTACTATTTCAAATCCTATGAAAGATACAGGACTAAAAATACTTGTTGAAGTCAACAGGCAGCAAGGATACAAACACCCTACGGAGATCTTTCTGATCCCTAATTAACCTTGTGGAATAGGTGTCATGCAATGCTGCAGATACTTGCTATTACATGGAGATGCATAACAGATATACAAGGTCACATAAGGCAAATCCATTGAGTCTTTTAAGTACTGTGTTATTACTACCAGTTGAGAAACCCTGGAGACATAGAGCAATGGTCACTGCAAAAGGTTTCCCTATAGGCTTGTGATGTTCTTATACTCTTGTCTTGACATTTATTATTTACAAAGATAGTAACATGCTAGACAGACCTCTCTTCATCACCTGTTCAAGTATTCTCAAGTTCCTGTTTGTAAGACTGCTTTGCTGCTACAAACAGATGCATGGAATATACTACCATCACGATAAACCAGAGACCATTTGCTATATTATTTTAAGCAGAAGGCAAGCAGATTTCTGAGAGGCTTAATTGCTTAGCAGCTTTGATATCCTACATAACTGTATGTTAACAGGGTACTACTGATTGGCCTTGCATTAACTGGGAAACAGAATAAAAAGCAGTGATTGTGCAATAGACAGATATATGCACGCCTGCAACTTATTATACTAATGTATTTATGGCAATTATAATAACTTAAAAGAGGTGCAATTGTTACTGAGTAACTGACTAGCCAAAGATACTGTAGCACTCTTGAGATGCATCACTTAGAAAATTAATGCAGTGTAAGTTTTCTTCCATAAAGCAGGTTGTTTCTTTACAAATTTGGGCACAATGTTTCGAAAACATTTTCACAAAAATTCTCTACTAAAGTCAATGCACTTAAATCAATTTACAGCAGCTGGAACTTGAACTCAGAGTGTTTGTTAAAATTCCTTCTGTTGGTGATCTGTACACAGAAAAACAATGTACAAATACTAGTAAATGTATTATTACTATTAACAATTTCAATACAGAAAGCAGGAGAGGTTATTTATTTTTTATTTTGGCAAGTAGTTTTATTTTGGCCTAAATGGAATATGACCATGACAGCTCTGGTCTACTTTCTAAAAAATAGTCTGTGAGAATAAAGATTTGCTTAGCCTGCACTGATTTTGTTTCTGTGTATCTCTACTGCTCTTTTGAAGAATATGACAATGTAGGTAATTAAAATCAAGCCTCTTCAAATACTATTTCTGATGTAGCCAGACTCAGAAAACAAACCCAAAAAGTTAAAACAGATATTAAAAAAACCAAACAACTCAATGAGCAATATGGAATCATTTGGGAGTATACTGTCCATATGACTTTGCTAACGTGGTGTATTTCAGTATAACATGTAAAATAAAGATATAAGAGTATTTTGGGTGTCCACAGAATATATTTATAAAAAATTCTTATTAAGTTTATCTTCAAAAGAAATTATTTTAATCCCCCTTCATCCATAGATTTAAAAATATATGTAAAAGATGAAAAAAGGAAAAAAAATATATCTGGATAAAACAGAAGTGGAAGGCTTTCTTATAGGCTATTACAGCTTCTTTGGAACTCATTTTTCTCACAGGAAAACAGCCAAAGGAGATTGAAAAACTGATGGTTTCCTTTTGAAGTAAGTGAAACAGTTTGTTTAAGAAGATTCAGGGCAAGGACCCTGAAAAAGACATTTGTATAAAAAAATAGAAAAAATATTCATACAAGCACGACCCCTTGTTGGAATTGTCATGACTTATGACATGATCTCAAAATAAAATCTCACTGATATGCACGAAAAATCTGTGGATGAAACCTTGCCCACAAATGGAGCCAATGGTATTCTGCCTTCTTCAGTGAGGCTGTAGTTTCATTCACGAAAAGCCATTCCCCTGTGGAATGCCTCCAAGGAACGGGTATCAGGGTAGACCTAACCAATTTATGTGATACATTAAGATTTGGAAGACAGCAAATGGGTGAATAAACTTACTCCGCATTCAAGTCTCTGCTGGACTTTGAGCTGCACACACCGCAAGACTGCACTTGTCATTTGATTCCAACAGGCAGGGATACTGTCAGCGTGGGACCTGTAGACTCACCATGACCAAAGTATCCTCTTTCAAACCCTAACAATGTTTGACAGAGCAGGCTCCCCTTACTTCTGCCTTGGTGGCAAATATGGAAGTAATTCTGACCAACAAATAATGCCCACAGACAGAGCATAAAGATGGAGTAACAAACTTTCACACAAATGTCGGTAGAAACATAAGAATCAGAAATCTAAACTTATACCTAATCTTATACTAATAAGTAATAACACATACAACAAGAATTCAAAATTATCACAGTCATTGTTTTTTAAATGTAACTCATCTATTGCATTATCATGTAAAATCACCCATCTCAAGATCAGTGAAACTGTACTGGAAATGTAAGTCCAGCCATATTACCTTGGCAGCTTTTGAGTCAGTTTTCCAGCATTTTCTACCACATTAAAAACAGACTTTGTCACTTACATTTAAGGTCTTTGCAACCTATATCCCTTCCCTTCTGTTAATCCTACTTCTGTCCTGACACTGTACCACATTAAAAACAACAAATTCTGCCTTGTCCCAACACAATGCAGAGAGTGACTTTTAAAACTATGCTGGTCACCACAATGAGACTCATAACTCATCTTCCATATGCGTGTTGTCATTAACTGCTAAAAACTGAAAGGCTTTGGTGTGCTGCACTGCAATATTAAGATTATTTGGCATACAGGTCCCAAACTTTGGATACAATGAACTTCAGAGAGGAAACAGACTAAAACAAATAGACAATTGTAGCATTGAATCACTCTAAATCGTGTGTATTACTAAAAAGACAGAAAAATTGTATTACAATCTAAGAGACAAAAGTGACTGAAAATACGAAATAATCTTTTCAGATCCAATTTACAAAACCTCAAACCTAATGCTTTTTAAATGGTAAATTACATTAAATTAAATAATCTTCTTGGAAAAATTGTGCCTTAAGAAAAATGATGCAGTGTAAAACTTACAGAAAACCAGCTATCCTCCTTTCTTAATTACTCCAGTGTCCAACAATTCATTTAAAGAATCTGACAAATCTTTTATTACATTTTAAATCACTATGCAGCATAAACCATTAAAAAAGCACTTTTTAACAATACTTTACAAGATCAAAATCAGCTAATCCATTTACACCATATTTTCAAGTCCTAAAACTTTGTGATTCTATAAGAACTATAAAATAAACGAAACACAGGAAAAAAAAATTAATTGTTGTGTGGAAACACCCTGGTAAAAAATTACTTACCTAGGATTTTACATGCAAAAAGAGCCATGGCACTCTGTAGTCTGTCTGGTCGGATGGCCTGGACCACAAGTACCTTAAAATAAAATACATTCAGGGGAGAAGCATTTATGTAAGTATATTGTGATAATTTAAAATGCAAGCCTTTTCTAAGAAGGATTAATTCTTTAAACTTCTCTTTCGAATAAAGTTATTTTCTCTGAATATATAGTTATCTGATCATTCCTTTCCAAGATAATCTAACGTAATTTTTCTTTTGTAAGTAGCTTATTTTATTAAACCCTATTATCCTGTCCTACCCTAATGTCCAATTATCAGAAGATATATCTACATCTAATGTCTATTTGTAAGCTGGATTTTTTCCTACAATGTTTTAGAAAAAAGGTAGCTCTTTGGTACCTAGAATGACAGAAAGCAATCTTAGCTTTATACTGGTAATCTAAATTCTATACATATATTTAGGCAGTAACTTCCTCACTGGAATACTAATATTTCTGGTTTCAGTACAGTTACAGTAAAATAAACAGTTTTGAAAGAATTTCATTTGTTTAAGCACACCTGTAGATATTTACATCTATTTTTATTTTATTGAGGCATTCAACTTTCAAGCCTCCTAGTTCTTTCAAATGCTTTTACTGTTCATCAAGACTACAGAATATGAACAGCCAATCAATTCAGACACAAATTAAATCAGCAGTTTCCCTACCAGCTACCTCATACTCAGTTAACTTCTTGCAAATGTTCAGTGCAGGCAACTGCAGGCAAATAATGCAACTTCAGTAGAAATTATTTGTTAAAATCACCACCCCTTCTTATACTCCCATACTTTCAGGCATGTAAATCCCAATTCTGAACCTACCATTACATTCCAGTTTCCAAGTCTGGAATATCTATTGTAAGCTTTTGAGGAAAAATTTTACTTCATTAAATTTTTAAGAAAGTACTACTTTTTAAGCTTGAGACTACATTAAGTGCTACTGCACTATTTTTAGGTTT